AGAGAGAGAGAGAGAGAGAGAGAGAGAGCGGTCGATCCTAACTGTTTTCATATAGTATAAAGTATTTAAAAACAACTTTTTCCGTGTCCCAGCTCTTTTTTTTTTTCAAAATAAGTAGAGGTACCCACCTCTGAGGGATACATAGCTCCATTCACAGTGTGTTCTGAGCCTTCCTTGTCCCCTTTGCCCCAGTGAAAGTGAAACTGGACCAACTTGTACTTCGTACTGTCCAAAGGTCCTCCACTGATCACTGAAAAAAAGTAATTTTTAAATCAATAAAATGCAAACGTGTGAAACATGTGATGAACACTTACAATGCGATAATATGACTAACGTCATGTCGCAGATTTGAATAATACCTCGGAGCATGTGATGGCTGAAAATGTGATTGCAGTAATAGAAGACTGAGAAGAAAATGGAACAACGACGAAAAAAGTGGAACCTGGCTACGCCCGACTCAATCATATGAATCCGATTGGCATTGTGCGATGGGTATAATTAACCTTGCATCCGCAGTTGACGTTTCTGTCTTTCGTTCTTTCCGTCTTTATCCTTCCATTGATCTATCTGTCCATCTTTTTCTTTCTCAGGCTATGCCCATATCTATGTGTCTGTTTCTCTGCCAATTCATCTCACTCTATCACTCTCTCCCCTGTCTCGATATCTCAATCTCTTCCCCCCCCCCTTTCTCCCCCCCCCTCTCTCTCCCTCTCTCTCTTTTTCTCTCTCCCTTTCTCCCCCCCCCTCTCTCTCCCTCTCTCTTCTTTTTCTCTCTCTCTCTCTCTTTTCCAATTAGTAACATGGCTACAGGAGTGTTCATTCCTGTTAACCTCAACGCGCACTTTGGTGTTGCCAGCCAATCATTCTTATCTGACTTTTGGTGCACATGACGTAATAGCGATAACGCGAACGTAAAGCACATGAAGACTCACTCGACCCTAAATCCTCTATCCCGCTCCCTCCCTTTCTTTTCTACCACCCCCGCTCTATCTCTTCCCAAGATAACGAGAGAAATCTACAGCTCTAACTATCGTTATATCTGACACCCTGTATACAATAATAATTATGGCATTATAATATTTAAAATGTGGTCTATTAACGGCAGCCTTTAAGATCACGGGCAGAGAAAAAAAAACCCCGGGTGGGTTGGATTAAATTAGAAACAACGAAGTCTACAAGTTTTTAAAAATAATTTTAAAAAAAATTCCATTACCCATTTGTGTGAGATTAACGTCATTTGATTAGTAAAGAAAGGTGCGTAGGATAGTGTCCAATAATGCATTACGAACATATTATTATAAAACGTAACTGTTACCTATAGAGATTCAAGGAATAATATTATATATATATATATGTCTACAATGTAAAGCCTTTGATAACAAACGCAGCGATCTGTTGTGTATTGGTTATGATCCTCGCAATTGCACGTGGACAACACAAGTTTGATTCTAGAGAGAAGATGTTCTTATTGGGGGTCTCTCTCGGTTTGTCTGTTGGGATGTTGTCTCCCACTCACCTTGGGGTGGCCTTAACAGGCATGGTCGAAGCAGCGCGCCTCATAAAAAAAACGATCTACGTCTTCCACGGGGCGTAAAACATTTCACACGCGATACATAGTGTATCATGTATTATGTATCGTATGGCAAAACGTCAGCAAGGAGGGTCAAGGACAGAACCCACGGGTCAGTTGGGTTATGACGATGCCTACATTATAAAACTGTCAAGGAGACAGAGGCCTGAAGCTGGGAAAGCGAAAGCGGGTGGTTTGAGGTCACTGCTTGTGGGTCCTACTTTTTTCTTTTCCTGTTGTTTCTTCTTGTTTACCTTGCATTTTTTCCCTGCGTTTTGTAGTCGTTATTTTGTGGAGGATGTGCATCTCAGATCTGACTCTCGCACTGCCGAGTCTATGTAGGTTATAAACTATAT